TTTTTGACAAATCCCAACGGTATTTTATAATACGAAGCGAATTATTACATTTTCACATCAAAACCATGACGAACCGAATTTTTGTACTTGCTGACACGCGCGTCAGACGCGTCCTCGATCGCCTCGAAAATATTATGGTGAGGAAAGAGATTGAGCTGCGATGAGAACAAAGGAAACAATTATTTTGAGAGGAGAGAAAGCTAAAAGAGCTCGATGGAAGGCCGAGAATTTCAGATAGGCCAGCAAACAAGATGCAGAGATACACTAACTTTACTGCGAGGATTTCCTCTTCCTGCTGACTGGACGGAGCGACTCGTGTTGTGGGAGAGTTGCAATCAAATGCGTCTGTGCAACAGACTTGAGGCGCTCCAAGGGATTGCGGATGGCCTCGTGGTGTCTCCTTAGCTCGTTGAAGCGGGCGTGAATGCTCTCACTCCCTTGCTCTGCGAGGAGACCAAGACCAACGCCTCGCCGTCGGATGGACGGCACGACATGCACCTCCAACATGTGCAATTTCGGCGTGATGTGGCCGAGCTTTTTGCTGACGACGATATCTCGGCATGCAGTCATAAATGTCTCCACCAAGCCTTCTAGCTTGGATATGGTGGCCTCGTTCACAGGCCTGCAGTGGCTGAAGAGGGCAGTGCACTCGCCATACAGGGACATCAGGTGCTGGTAATCCTCATGAATTCGATTTGCCTCTGGGAGCAGCAGTGGCGCACGAGAAGCTACTGCAGATAAATGTGCTGGGGTTATTTCAGTTGTCACTGCTGGCTGAAGAGCTATGTGCACATGGTTGCCCACAAAAGCACCTCCATGGTATGCTTGCCTATCGATTCCATTGCGCTGGAAAACTGGCTCGATGCTTGCTCAACATGGCCCCTCACACTTTTTGTTCTGTTTTATTGCGGCCATGTGGTCGGTGAGTGACTGTCTCCACGCAAGCAATACAGTACGGCGTGCATCACCATTCTTCCACTGGTCTTGTAGGTGTTGTGTCACGCTCTCCACTGTGGCAGCAGGTATCAAGCTGAAAAAAGAGAACAATGTACTGGACTTGCTGCTGCACTACATGTAGTTGTTGGGTAACTGCAGAAATCTCCTCATCCGTTTTGCTGGCTTCATGCAGTGACGAAAGCTTTTCAAAGCTGCCAGCATCACCAGCTACTGCTGTAGCAGCAATGGCTCCAAGGATGACAGTGGCAGCAGGAACGCCTGCAGGAGCGACAGTGGCTGCAGGAACAGCTGCAGGGACGGCAGTGGCAGCAGGGACGGCAGTGGCAGCAGGAACGGCTGCAAGGACGGCTGCAGGGACGGCAGCAGGAACGGCTGCAGGGACGGCTGCAGGGACGGCAGCAGGAACAACTGCAGGGACGGCTGCAGGGATGGCAGTGGCAGCAGGAACGGCGGCAGTGGCAGCAGGAACGGCGGCAGTGGCAGCAGGAACGGCGGCAGTGGCAGCAGGAACGACGGCAGGGACGGCAGTGGCAGCAGAAACCGCGGCGATGTCTGCTGTAGTAGCAACGGTGGCAGGAACGGCGGTGTCTGCAGCAGCTGTTCTTCTGGCAAGCTCAATGTCGAGGGCTTTGAGCTCAGCCTGAAAAGCAGTCAGCATCCATGGGAAAATACCCAGATCCAGATGAAGAGCCGGGATTACAACATTCTCCTCGGGAATAGGTAAGATCACTGGACGTATGCTGTTGTTGTAGTTCTTTGCATTCTTTAGATTTGAGCCACTGTTCGTGAATCCAGTGAAATCGTTGTACAGAGTTTCTAGTGTTCTGCTGGTAGAATCGGCATCTGGGTTTAGGGCTGGTGGAATGTCCATATTCTTCTTCTGACATAGACAGTGTAAGCATGGTCGGTGCCACTGGACCCCGACAAACCATATGCTTTCGTTTGATATTCGTAGTCGCCAAAAAAAACAATTTGAACGACTTGTTCTTCTATGTTGCTGTTGTTTGCAGATCTCTGACCTCGTCACGATAGACTCCTAGCGCGGTTTCAAGGTTCGATGGCGTGTCTTGTGCCTCGAAGATGCAAATCGGGATAGTGTTGAGGAGTGAATTCGGCCGCTGCACATTCACGATCTGCAGGACAAACTTGAAAGATCCTCCGCCGTGATCACCACCGAGTTTGATCCACAGTGGACGGACCAGTTCGCAAGCAGTTGACAGAACAGGTCGCTTGGCTTTGCCAGTTCTGAAGCACGCAGGGTATGTTGGCAGGCTGGACACTGCGCACCGTTGGTTAATGTTTGGCATATGCATTTCGTGCAAAATACTCTAGAACAGCATGGTGACCGAACACCATTGCTCAGCATGCTGCGGCAGATCATGCATTGTACTGTGGCTGCTGCACTGCTGTCGGCAAATCTTGACATAGTCAAATTGCACTCTGCTTCATAATCAGGTGCAGATATGTCATGCGCCTCACTTTCAGGTATATCCATGCTATTGCTAGATGCATAGGGTTTACCGGGTGTTAGCGGCCGTCGTGAGTTCCCATCGGGAACGGACACGATAATTTACTTTTTACTTTTATTGCTAGATGCACATGCACTGCTACTGCTTGATGTCATTTTTGCTGCATGCTCCGCTTGCTGTTTTTATCCGTTTGCTTGGTCGGCCACCCTTCGATTTTTCTTGAAACTTGGTGCAGACTCTGCAAATCACACGTTCATGTCTTTTCTAACTAAATGTTACCCCTTGTCCACAACCACCGCCACTGGGATTGAACTTCTCTGTGCTCTGTGATCTCTTCAGCACTCTTTGGCAAAGAGCACAGATATATGTTGGGTGAATGGTAGGGTCGTCATTACAAACATCAATACTGAATACGTTTTTCATCGTTTCAGTGTAGTCAGACACTGGATATCTCGTCTGTTGGGAGCACGCAGTAAATTTTGCGCCTCCAACACGGCATAGATGCTGTAAATGCGCTGCATGGTGCTCCATGTCGTGCGATGCATCGCAGATGTGCATATCTCCCACTGGAAACAGAGAAAAGTAAAGGCCCATCGTATTTTTGATTTCACCATCGTATTCAAAAGAACTTGCGAAAATATAACGGACAACTACCCGAGGATGCGAGGAAAACCTCGAGTGGTGACTGAATAACTCCAGAAGACGTACCACGAGCGTGATGAAGGTAGCTAACAATATACTGACAGCAATTTCAGTCGATAATTCCACTGCACCAAAACAGAAAGCAACTTCCTTCTCCTTCGTCCGATCAAGGAATGTTTGGTACCAAAATGTTGCTGTGCGCGTCAGCTTTCCACTCCCGCGGATTTAGTAGCAAAAATGTGGGGCTAGCGGCGGTAAATCGCGGAAGAATGATAGCAACTCACCTTAATCTCAACGTAAAAATGATTAATCTTTGATTTTTTGCAAAAATCAGCGGGTACCCCCCGCCATGTTAGATGGCCAAAAATCGCTGGCTGAAACAGCCGTGTACATCGGATCAACAGAACCAGCATTTAAAATAACACCAATTTAACAACCACACATCATCTTTGCGCCTCCCTGCGCCTCCCAAAGTACGAGAATGCCACCAAACTTTCGAAATACACGTGGAAAATGAAAGAAAAAGGCAAGCAGACATCTATCGGATGGTCCATCAAGAAGAGAAGTCTAGCCTACAGCAACATCAGCAAGAGATGCAACCTCTGCCTGGAAGAAAAGCGGCAGATCATCACCGCGGACAAGACAACGCTGCTGAACAAAAGGAGTAAACTTGTATCATTGTGCCGACACGCCAACACATCCACCCTCAAGAACCCCAGTGCAGCCGTGACATAATCACAGGTGTGCAACTACCCCACCACATACACACGTCTATGCACACATACATACATACATACATACATGTACACACACACACACACACACACACACACACACACACACACACACACATGTACAGACACACATGCATGCACATGTACATACACACATGCATGCACATGTACATACACACATGCATGCACTTGTAAACGCAACACACAAGTACTGTGACACAACCTGATGCGCACCTACCCACGTGTGTTAGGGCCTAGAACTCTCATCATCACCAATAACAGGTCTACAGGGTGGATTATCACCAATAACAGGTGTACAGGGTGGATTATCACCAATAACAGGTCTACAGGGTGGATTATCACCAATAACAGGTGTACAGGGTGGATTATCACCAATAACAGGTCTACAGGGTGGATTATCACCAATAACAGGTGTACAGGGTGGATTATCACCAATAACAGGTCTACAGGGTGGATTATCACCAATAACAGGTGTACAGGGTGGATTATCACCAATAACAGGTCTACAGGGTGGATTATCACCAATAACAGGTCTACAGGGTGGATTATCACCAACAACAGGTCTACAGGGTGGATTATCACCAATAACAGGTCTACAGGGTGGATTATCACCAATAACAGGTCTACAGGGTGGATTATCACCAACAACAGGTCTACAGGGTGGATTATCTTCACGTCCTGGCGACTATTCCTTCCCCTTCTGAATTCGCTCACAACCATCATCAAATTATGCTATATATTAGCCAAGTGTCACAAGTCACACAAGTCTCACTGAACACGTTACAACTGATGATTGTATTGTGCAAGAAACTCTGAGTTGCGACGAACTCTGTAAGCCTCCCTTGTGCCTTTTGTATGTAATGTCACTAATGTACATACGTACGTAAATATACCCAGTATAACGGGAGGATGCACCCAGTATGCTGACAGTGCTCAACACCGCGGCGGAGGCAGAGTGTAATACACAGAATAACAAGGGAAAGCAAGGCTAGTTTGCCGTTACATGTACTCTTGAGTTGCATGCTTTCGCAACCATCAGGCAACAGTTGATGATTGCATAAGCATGAAACTCGGAGTAGCGACTAACTAGTCTTGCTTAACCTTGTTGTTCTGTGTATGCCCAGTATACCAGTATAGCATACCATAACATTGAACAATAAATAGGTTACATGCTTAC